TAGTTATTGTATTCTTTACACAACCTTAAGAATATACTAAAGCCACCAAACTGTTTAAAGAGGTGAATTTTATGGTATATGAATTATATCTCAAAAAAAAGTAGTTTAGTAGCTTTTGGTATGAGTTGGGATTGCAAAGTGTGAAAAGATTAGGCTGAGACCTGGCTTGGTGGCTTTCACTTGTAATCCTAGCACTCTAGGAGGCCAAAGCAGATAGATTGCCTGATCTCACAGGTTGAAGACGAGCCTGAGCAGGAGCGAGATCTCATCTCTAAAAATAGCCAGGCCTTATGGTGGGTGCCTATAGTCCCAGCCACTCGAGGCAAGAGAATCACTTGAGCCCAAGAGTTTGAGGTTGCTGTGAGTAGTGATGTCAGGGCACTCTACCGAGGGCAACAAAATAAGACTCTGTCTTAAAAAAAAAAAAAAGAAAGAAAGAAAAGATGAGAATGAGTTGGAGGTTTTGGGTAAGTTACATTTGAATTAGGTTGAAAACGTTTGGCAGAGATGATGTGGCAGTTGGGAAATGTCTTAACATGTAGAAAGATTGCTGAGAGCACTGAGGGCCTAGTTGTGGTTGGATCCCATAAATTTATAGTAGCTCTCTTTATTTTGTGACTTTTTTCCACCCTCTTCTGCCAAAACTCAGAGTTGATGTGCTTCTGGTGTATTGAAAGATAGCAAGGCAAGGGAATTGAGAATGTTGGCAAAAGAACATTTGAAATGGAGCCATAGACTCTATTCTAGAAAAGTGAATTCAAGAGTCACTGAATAGGGGTTTGTGTGGTTAAAGGTCAGTTGTGATAAGAGTTGTTAAGAGACCTGAAATGATAGCAGATGGTATTCAGAGAGTTTTGAATATAAAGTTGGTATAACCAAGTGGCCTGTTTTTTTTTTAAAGAAACCAGGGATTTTGCAAAAAAGATTGTGGTATGGAAAATGAGGAATACAGAATCCCACTTCTCAAATCTGAAGTGTATAGTTGGGGAGAGGGAAGTGAGGAAGGAATATGATACATCTCCATGACAAGACTTAATGAAGTGGGGTTAACATCTGTAAAGTAAGGAAAGGGCACTTGAAAAAAACCAGCCTCAGAAAATAGAAGTACAAATTATGCTTCCAGCACTGTGCAACACACTTGAAATACATTGGTGTGATTATCTTTATCCTTGGGAATGTTTACTAGAACAATCTTAATTGAGGAACATTTCTTAAGTTTTACCTAATTTCCTTTATTCTGGACTTAAATTGACCAAAGCAATGTTCTGATTATGATTTGACTCCCTATATTACTACAGAGAGAGAATGTGTTCATTGGTTAATAAGCATCTAGTATGCTTAAGATATGTTAAACTGGCACTCTGTTTTATGCATCTTTTTTTTTGTTTTTGCTTTTTTTCAGTGAATGGGTAGTGTTAGAGAGCATATGAGGATTTCTAAAGCCAAGGTCCAAACTCTGGTTCAAAGTGTAAGGCCAAGATATTACCATTATTTGTGAGGCCTCCAAGTAGAAGCCATCACTGGATAAATCCCTTCTACTAGGAGCCATCTGCATGATGAACCTATTTATGTAAACTGCAGTGGTAAACCAGACTTTTATATAGCTTTGTTTTTATACAAATTTCTTTTTCCCCTTACAGAGAAGCATTGATTACATTTTTAAGTGCTTTGCATAGAATTTCAAAGTTCATTGTGACCTCTATACTAAGACATTATCAGGCACAGATGATACATGTGAAGGGCTTTTGGCAAACAGAGACTTGGTAGCCATGATTCAACTTGAATCACTCCCTCATGAACCATATGAAACACATTCTTGCAGGATCACAACTGTATTCTTGGGAATCATTTTATTTTCCAACTTATTGGACTAGTTTAGAGGCCTTTGGGCTTCACTGGACTTTTCTTCATTTCCTTCTTTTGTTGATCTTGGCCCCTTAACCTTCCACCCACTTTATTACTCATTTCTTAGGAACCTGACTACTCTGTAACACTGAGAAAATACATCTGAAGCCATATGGGTTGAGTAAAATAAACTTAAGATAGGAAGGACAAAAAGGAAGAAATGTGTGTTCTCTGAACTTCCTTTGTTTATATGATCTGTTTATATGTTGTTAAGGTTGTGTTATCCAGCTGCCTCCCTACATTTCAGAAATGACTCAAGATATCTGGGAAACACTCTAACAGGGTGATGTTGGCATAGTAAATGAAAAGACACTTCATTTGTCCCCCACTAGATAATATATCCTCTTTCGAGGTTATGGGACCAATGCCAAGAGCTTCAAATGCTGAATCTTGAGGTTCTTCAAAGGGTGTTGACTTTTAGGGACACTCTTAGGAAAAAGCCAGTTAAATGAGTCCTTGTAAAGTCTGGGAGTATGCAACTGGCCCTTTGAGTGCTTACTCATTACAATTGTCTGTATAATGTCTAATAGTTTTCTTTTGGTAAAATGAACATTGGCACTGGTATAAGGTGATGTTAGCAGCTCTTAAAGCCCAGGTTCTACTGGTCTTTTTATAATGTGAATTAAAACTTATTGGGCAGGTCATGGTGGTTTATACCTGTAATCCACCTGTAATCCATGGTGGTTTATACCTGTGGGAGTCCAAGGTGGTAGGATCACTTGAGGTCAGGAGTTTGACCAGCTTAAGCAAGAGCAAACCTCCATCTCTACTATAAATAGAAAAACTAGCCAGGTGCTGTAGCAAGCACCTATACTCCCAGCCGCTGCAGAAGCTGAAGCAGGAGGACCATGGTCCCAGGAATGTAAGGTTGCTGTGAACTAGGCTGGATACCACAGTACTTTAGCCTAGGGCATTAGAGTAAGAGTCTGTCTGAAAAAAATAAATAAATACTTAAAGGATAGGCCACAGAGGTTCACACTTGTAATCCTAGAGCTCCTGGAAGCCACGGCAAGAGGATTACTTTTTTTTTTACGGCCAGGCCTTTGAGACCAGCCTGAGCAAGAGTGAGACCCATACAGAAAATAGAAAACAGCCAAGCATGCTAGCCTGTGCCTATTGTCCTAGCTACTCAGGAGGTTCAAACAGGAAGAGAATTGCTGGAGCCTCCAGAGTTTGAGGTCGCAGTGAGCTATGATGATGCCACTGTACTTTAGTCTAGGTAACAGAGAGATACCCTATCTCAAAAAAGAATTTTTTTAAAGTACACTTGATCCAGGCATGGTGGCTCACACCTATAATCCCAGCACTCTGGGAGGCCAAGGTGGGTGGATTCCCAGAGCTCACAGGTGAGACCAGCCTGAGCAAGAGCAAGACCTCCTCTCTAAAAACAGCTGGCCATTGTGGCAGGCACCTCTAGTCCCAGCTACTGGGGTGGCTGAGTCAAGAGGATCACTTAGGTCCAAGAGTTTGAGGTTGCTATGAGCTACAACGCCGTGGCACTCTACCGAGGGTGACAAAATGAAATTCTGTCTCAAAAAGAAAATAATAGTAAGTACACTGAGTCAAGATTATTCTACATTTAGAATGGAATTTTGTGGCATTAATTAGAGCCATTCCATTTGCAAACACCTTCTCTTAAAGGAACTGAAAAAGTTAGCCAGTATTCCCGCAGTGGAATAAACTTACTCTGTGGTTGACTGGGCAGTTCCTCTCTCTACCTTCCTTGCTTTCCCCAGTAAAATATGTGTACAGAGATTGATTTTTTTTCATAGTAAGCTATTTGTGATACTTGGTCTGCTAACTAATAAATTCAGAGTGAAAATAAGAATAAGAAAAAAACATTAGTGTTATCTTTGGAAATAAATTATTCTATTGAACGTTGAGAACATGGTTGTGCCATCTGCATTTTCTTCATATTTCCATGTCAGTGAAGTGAATCCTAGCACTGCATTAGCTGCTGTGCTTTCCTTTTAAATGCTGTTTCACTAGGTCTCCTTAGCGCAGCATCTGAAATAACTGCTGAGGAAGTTCCTAACTGAATTCATAATTTGCTTCTCCATTCTGCTGGTTAATTGAGGCACTCTTTTTCTTGAGTGCTTTGTAGTTCCACTTAAGTGGCTGATGTTTGGGGTCACTATTGAATGTTTTATTTGAGTATCACTTTCATGATGATTGGAAAGCTGCTGCTTTTAGTTATATGGGGTTAAGCCCTTACTGGTAAGCCTTGAAAAGGAAAAATCTTTCTTTGTAGTGACATACTAAATGAAACTATTCTCTTTGTCATGTTGTCCTTTTATCCTTTCAGTCTGATAACCTCAGTTTCTTGTGATTTGTTTTCTTCAGTTAAGCTTAGTTGTTTCCTGTGCCCAGGTGCATGCTATTTCTGCTCTCGGTTAGAATGGCTATTCGGAACATATTTCTGACCTGGAAGTGTGGTTTCTTTGACTCAGAGCCACATCAGTATGCCTTCCATCCTCAACTTCCTTTGCATTATTTCCTGTTGGAGGGCTCACTTTGTCACCATTTAATCTAAGGATGATTCATCTGGGACTGAAAACTGGTAGCGCTGTAATAACAATACCTTTCTTTATATAATAGTAGTCAAGGCACTTACTATCTTAGCCTTCTCTGTTTATGAAGCACTTTCAGTTTAATCCCTCACAATAACCCCACGGGTTATATCAGCAATTTTGTCTGTGTCTAAGATGGTAAAATTGTAGCTCAGAGAGGTTAAATAACTTGCTCAAGGTTGCAGTTGTTTCTGAGTTACTCTGTTTAACAATTGCTACAGGAAATGAAGAATACTTTTGAAGATATTCTGGGTGAATAAAAAGGAATTTTCCAGACTGTGTCCCAGTTCTTAAAATGTAACTTGTTTTTATTCTGGTCAGTTGATAAAACCAGGCTTTAAAAATGCATTGACCATAGAGTTTAAATTGATACATCCAAGTCAGGAAAATAAATATTTAGGTCAGGGTCTATTCTGTTGCTGATGTGATAATAAAGGAAAGGAAAGCTGGCTATTAAATTAGTGGAACTTGAACTGAAAGTAATTAAGCCATTAATTTTTTTTTTTAATTCTCTCTTCCTTTCAGAGAGATGGAAAGCTTGATGACTAGTTCTACCCTGCCACCCCTTTTTGCAGATGAAGATGGTTCCAAGGAGAGTAATGACCTGGCTACAACTGGGTAAGCAGCTGCTTGGGGACATTGGGCCTCTCTGCACAGGCTTCAAAACAAAGCTGCTAACAAAGTATGAAGTGCTAAAGAAGCAGTTTTACATCAGAAGAATAGAAGCTACATTTATTACACTTTGCAAAGAGAGTAAGAGCCATCCCAAGCCACTTTTTAATCTGCATTTGGCAGTGCTCTGGTTCCTATGAACTGGTACAACAATGTGTGGGATCGCATGACTCCAGTTAAGAAAATTATATAGTCGGCTCGGTGCCTGTGGCTCAAGCAGCTAAGGTGCCAGCCACATGCACCTGAGCTGGTGGGTTTGAATCCAGCCCAAGGCCGCCAAACAACAGTGACAGCTGTAACCAAAAAATAGCCGGGCGTTGTGGCAGGCACCTGTAGTCCCAGCTACTTGTGAGGCGGAGGCAGGAGAATCGCTTGAGCCCAGGAATTGGAGGTTGCTGTGAGCTGTGATACTATGGCACTCTACCCAGGGCGACAGCTTGAGGCTCTGTCTCAAAAAAAAAGAAAGAAAATTATATAGTCACCATTTTAAGGAAATACCTGCCACAGAGCTAGCCATTTACAAAAGAAAAAAAAAATGCATTTTCTGTTCAAATTGCCACAGATACTATTTTTCCCAAAGATCACATTTTTTAGTGGGGTTCTTTATTCAAATGCTTGGGAGCTTTAGCTGATTTTTATTCCTTTTATTCCTTCCCATTTCCTTTCTATGCAATCTTTGGACAAATGTGTACAGGAGTATAGAAAAGGATTAATAGCAATAGTCTTCCTCTTCCCTTGAAAATCTCTGTTACTTTTGAATTTTCTCTTTTCTAGAGATGTAGAAGTTTTTGCCAAAGAAGAAATACACTCATTAATAGATTGAAGTGCTAGTTAATCCCTAAAATGAATTATTTCATATTATTCAGAGCACTTTGATAATTCCGTTTATTTCTCACACTCATTTATCACCTCATTATTTCTGCTTTGACTTCACTACTGAGATAAAACTGTTCTCTAAGAAAGACTACCTAGTTAATAAATCCCATTCATTCAGTAAAAATTTTCTGAGTGTCTACCCTGTGCCAATGTTTCAGGCATTCGATATAAAGCAATGATCAAAAGAAAAATCCTAGCCCCTTTAGAGTTCAAATTCTACTGTGCAAGTCAGACAGTAAACAGGGTAAATAAGTAAAATACATACTATGTTTATAAGAACTATGGATAAAAAAATAAAGAGGAAAATGGATCGGTAGAGTTTAGCAGAACAGTTTTAGACGGGGTGGTCTAGAAAGTGTTTCATGAGTGACTTGAGTAAAGACCTGAAAAAAGTAAGGTAACTAACATGCAGTTCTCTGGGGAAGAACTAGGGAAAGGGAGAGCAGTGGGTGCAGAAGCCCTGCAGTGAAAGTGTTTCCACGTTACAGAAATAGCCAGAAGGAGGGGGTGAGGGTTGAAAAATTTATTTATGGGGTACAGTGTACACTATTAGGGGGATAAGCGCATAAACCCAGACTTTACAATCATACAGTATATACAGGTACCAGAATCAATTTGTACCCCAATCCTATTAAAAAATTTTAAAGGGGCAGGGGAGAAATAACTGAGAGGTCATTGTGATTGGAGCCGTACGTAGTAGAGAAGGGGCAGTAAAGGGCTTACATCAGTGCTTCTCAGGCTTTATCATATATAGGAATTGCCTACAGAGGTTATTCAAATGCAGTTCTTATTTAGAAAGTCTGACTTAAAGCCACATTTCTAACACACAGGATCCCAGATAAGGCCAGTGCTGCTGGTATGAGGCCCATACTTTGAGTAATAAGGGATTAGATTATGTAGAACTTGAGAGGTCAGAATAAATGCCTTGACTTTTCCTCTGAGTGAAGTTGTTTTTTAATAAGATCCCTCTGACTCTTGTGTTCAGTAGACAGCGAAGGGAGCAGGGGCTGGAGCAAGGAGACCAATTAGAAATCTCTTGGAATAATTGAGCAGAAAGAGGACCTAAAGAATATCACTGGTGACTTTGACAGCAGTATGCCTGGTGGAGGAGTAGGGGCAAAAAACCTCACTGGAGTGTGTTTCAAACATAATGAGAATGGGGGGGTGGGGAAGGTAGTGACTATAGAACTCTTGATATATTTTGAAGGTATACCAAATCAGATTTGCCTGAACGACCAGATAACCAGTGTGAGAAGGGAGAATAAAAGCCGTCAAGGACAACTGCAGAGTTTTAGCCTAACCATGTGAAGGGATGGAGTTGCCACTAAGTAGTTGAGGAAAATTAAACAGGAAGGGGAGGGAATTAATCGTAGGAGCTGAGTTTTGGAAATTTAAATTAGAGTTCCTAGTTAGATATCTAAGGGGGATGTCAAATAGGCAGTTTGATAAAGGTTCTGAAGTTAGAAGAGATTCAGGCTAAAAAGAGAAAGTTGGGAGTCATCAGCATATAACTAATATTTGTAGCCTTGAGACTGGATCAGATCACAAAAGAAATGCAGACTGTGTAGTAGAAGAGAGAAGAAATCTAAAGCCTGAGCTCTGGGCTATCCCAGCATTTAGAAGTCAGGCAGAAGAGGAAGAGTCAACAGAAAAGTGAGTAGCTAAAAAGGTAGCAGAAAAAAAGAAGTGGAGGATCTGGAAACCAAGAAATAAAAACTATTTCAAGAGAGAGGAAGAGATCAGCTACGTCATCAGATGCTTCTAGTATGTCAGGTAACATGAGGGCTGAGAAATGACATTGGATTTAGTATGGAGGTCATTGGTGACCTTGACAAGAGTTGTTAAACATGTATCTCTTTTGGAAGGGGTTTAAGAGAGAATGGGAGGAGAAAAATTAGAAGTATACACAAGTTCTTTTTTTTTTTGAGACAGAGCCTCAAGCTATCCCCCTGGGTAGAGTGCCATGGCATCACAGCTCACAACAACCTCCAACTCCTGGGCTCAAGCGAGTCTCTTGCCTCAGCCTCCCAAGTAGCTGGGACAACAGGCGCCCACCACAATGCCTGGCCATTTTTTGGTTGCAGCCATCATTGTTGTTTTGGCGGGCCCCGGCTGGGGATTCGAACCCACCACCTTAGGTGTATGTGGCTGGCGCCCAGCCGCTTGAGCCACAGGCGCCGAGCCAACACAAGTTCTTTTGAGGAGTTTTGCTATAAAAGAAAGGAGAAATGAGGGCCTTAACTAGAAGTAGGATTCAAAGAATATTTTGTTCTTCATTTTAAGAGGACTAATACCAAACATATGCTTATATATGTTTGTTGCTTGTTTGCCTGTAGAGGGAAAAGAGTTGGTGTTGCCAGAAAGGGCTAAGTTGCTAAAAACTTGTCCTTGAGAAGCCGGGAGAATCTGGAACTCAGTGCATAAATGGAAGGGTTGTTGGCTTTAGTTAAGAGCATGGACAACTCATTCATGGTAAAAAAAGAGCGTTATTTTTTTCAGTTTTCATTCAACTTTTCAAAAAGGCATTTGACAAGTTTGATCACTCTCTTCTGACTCCTGTCCACTTCAGTCAGGGACTCATGGGACTAGTACTCCTTCTCAAACCTAGTACTCATATTTTACTCAAATAAGAATGTACAAGAGTTGGTAACTTCAAAATTGATGGCACAAATGAAATGAGAATGACAGTGAAAGAACAAGTTGCCTAATACATCCAAAATGTATTTGGAAAATAACACTGCCAAAATCAAACTGGATTTCTGATAGTACCTCTTTTCAAAGAACATGCTTGGTATTGATTTCATAGCTTCTTTTATTTACCATTTCTTAAAGGGCCTCAAAAATGTAGGAATTTTCTGCTTAAAATCATCTATTTCCTTGGAAGGGTTAAATAAGGATAATTTATTTAATTCCCAAGACAGTGTACATTTGTTTTCTGGAAAATATTTTAGCACTGCCCATTATTTCATGGACCAATGGCTCTCAAATCTATTCCATAATTTTTCTTTCTTTCTTTTTTTTTTTTTTATTGAATGGTAACTATGAACTATGAACATTAATGCATTTCTGGGGTACAGTGTGGTATTTGCACATACAATTTGAAATCTCATGCCTTTTCTTCTCCTGTATTCTCTCAGTGCATGATTCTAGTTGTCTTTGAGACATTTCCACTTACTATGTTACAGGCATTTCAAACTTACCATTTGTTCATCTGTCATGGCACACATATATGCAGTTCTTACCTTGGTTAATGTTAAGTTCATAATCGCCAATTGGGAAGCTTTAGACTTACCCATGACTCTTTTTCCTTCACTATTCATATTCAGTCATTCTACCTCTTAAGTATCTTTTAGCTTTCCCTCCTCTACTTTCCATCCTGCCTGCCCTTGTCCATTGCAGGAGGTTCATGGTAGCTCTCCCTTTTCTTGTTATACCCAATTTTTTCTGCTGGAATGATGCTTTTTACCCTGATGAATACATATTCATTTTTTAAGACCTTCTCTAAATTTTTCTTTACACTGCCTAGAGAGGTAGGGTGTGCTAAGGACAGACCTGAAATCTTTCTTACATCCTCTATACATACAAAATTCATCGTACCCTCTACTATGCCGCTTTGGCAATTTTTATAAACCTCTATCTTAGTACTTATATTTCTTTGTAATTATTGCCTATAACCCTGTGGAGGATGCACATTCTTTCAGAATAATGACTAAAGATTACTTTTATTATCTATCGTCCTACTGCCTTACCTTCCCAACTCCTACACACACAAAAAAAAAAAAGAAAACCCACAAACTTTCTAGTACTTGATGTTGCCTTCTATTCTCATATCCACATGTGATAGGGAAGTCAATCTCAGATCGTACCATCATCTGTACCTTCTGTGTTCAGTTTTCAGAGGATGAGATCTTGTTTGCTAACTCATTGGGACAGACTAGTGGGAGCAAGAAAGAAGTCCATCTGATTTATTAACATGTACAGTAAACTCCCCATTATCCAGAACTCATGCAACCAGGCCAAAAAAAAGAAAAATCAGAGTTTAAAGTTTGTGCTCTGTGCTGTCATTCAGCTGATGCTTCGTGCATCACTCCCCCGGTGCCCATGTGTTCTCTGTAGCAGTTTTAAGTGTTAATGTGAGTAATTTGAAGTTAAAAAAAGTACGTTAGTGAAGTTGAAAAGTGTATTAACTGCCGTTTAACTAAAATGGTACACTGCATTTACAAAGCTGTTTTGTAATACGTGAAACTGTAAGTGAAGTTTGTCTTTATTTGTCTTAATTTGCTTTTTATCAGTGTATTTCATTAACAATACTAACTCAATACAAAGTTTATGGTATAGTATGGGAAAAAGAATTAATTAGGCCTGTTTTTAATGGTAACTCTCTCAAGCAACTGGAAACTACATTTATCCAGAATCTACCAATCCCCATCGATGCTGGATAACAGGGAAATTACTGTATATATAAACATATTCATCTTGATAATATTGCTCTGAAATGATCTGATTGTCAAGAAATGCTATAATCCTAGAAGAAATAGCCTATGGAATGTACCACACCATATATATTCTTAGAATGCCTCTATAAGTCTCATTCCTATTTACCTTTTCCATTAATGGTGTTTTCCTTTACATTGGACGTACTTGAAAGGTAGTATATAAAAGTCAGACTTGCCAAGTGCAGTGGCTTATGCCTGTAATCCCAGCACTCTGGGAGGCCAAAGCAGGTGAATTGCCTAAGCTCAGGAGTTTGAGACAGCCTGAGCAACAGCAAGACCTGTCTCTAAAAATAGCCAGACATTGTGGCAGACTCCTATAGTCCCAGCTTCTCCGGAGGCTGAGGCAAGAGGATCACTTGAGTCCAAGAGTTTGAGGTTCCCGTGAGCTATGATACCATTGCACTCTACCAAAGGCCATAGAGTAAAAGTTCATCTCAAAAAACAAAAGTAAATGGCTCGGCGCCTATAGCTCAACTGGCTAAGGTGCCAGCCACGTACACCAAAGGTGGCGGGTTCAAATCCAGCCCCGACCCACCAAACAACAATGACGGCTGCAACCAAAAAATAGCCGGGCGTTGTAGCGGGCGCCTGTGGTCTCAGCTACTTGGGAGGCGGAGGCAGGAGACTCGCTTGAGCCCAGGAGTTGGAGGTTGCTGTGAGCTGTAATGCTACGGCACTCTACCCAGGGGGACAGCTTGAGGCTCTGTCTCAAAAAAAAAAACCAAAAGTAAATAAATAAAAGTCAGACTCTAGTGCATGCTCAGAGCTAAAATATGAGGTCTATGTTGAGGGGAGAGGTCATTTTTGGGAAAAGGATATAGTTGTTTTTGTAGGAGACGTCTTCATGGAACTGACCTCATTCAAGCAAGCTCTGAAGCCATTTTTTAAAAATACACTAGGGCAGTACCTGTAGTTCAGTGAGTAGGGCGCCAGCCCCATATACTGAAAGTGGTGGGTTTGAACCCAGCCCCAGACAAATTGCAACAAAAAAATAGCTGGGCGTTGTAGAAGACACCTGTAGGCCCAGCTACTCAGGAGGCTGAGATAAGAGAATCACCTAAGCCCAGGAGTTGGAGGTTGCTGTGAGCTGTGTGATGCCACAGCACTCTACTGAGGGTGATAAAGTGAGACTCTGTCTCTAAAAAATATATAAATAAATAAGTAAAATAAAAATACTCTAACTTCCATAGAGACATTATTTATATTTTCACAGATTGTAGTTGGAGAATTAATTCAAGGAATGACATGTGCTTTTGATGGCAAGGAAATTTGTCTTGAACCTTGGTAAATAGGAAAAGTTTTTGATACTGTCAATACTGAACTCCTGCACTTCTGCCTGTTGATCAGGTTAACCCACCCAGAGGTTCCATACAGTAGTGGTACAACATCATCCACCAACAATCCAGAGTTTGTGGAGGATCTCTCCCAAGGTCAGTTGCTTCAAAATGAGTCTTCAAATACAGCAGAAGGCAGTGAACCGAGGCACGAAGATGAGGTAAGCTGAAGTATCTCTTGTTATTGTCCTCTGAAGCTTCTGAAAAAACAGGAAGGTGTTGACTGAGGTGTTCCTCCTCTTACCTTCTTGGACTGATAGCTGTAAGATTTTCTGTTTTATATTTCTTGTTAGCCATATTAATGCTTTTAATAACAAAAACAGGTAGACTTTGTCCCCACACACCTAAGAAATCTACCTACCTCATTAGATGCACAGCAAATGCTTGCTGGATGAGTGCATGATTTAATCATTAGTAAATAAGTGACAAGAGGTATACATGCCCTTGTTAGGGCCATACCCTGCTCACCAAGCCCTGTAGTATGGAGCCATATGTGCCCAAAGAATTTATACCACTTACCAAGTCCTTTCCCTCCCATAGGGAGCAGAAGTTCCATATGGGGCTGGGCAATCATGCCCTTGTACTTTTCAGTGTTTCTCACAAGTGACTGATTACATTGTGTATATTTTAAAGCAAGGAAAGAGTACCACCATTGATTTTTGTCTTTTTTTTTTATTTTAAAAGAGGTAATTTTTTCATCTAGCTGACATTTTTAAAGATTATAATGAATGCTTAAAGTTTCTTAGACACCTTAAATTCTTTTCTTTTTTTTTTGAGACAGAGCCTCAAGCTGTCCCCCTGGGTAGAGTGCTATGGCATCACAGCTCACAGCAACCTCCAACTCCTGGGCTCAAGCGAGTCTCCTGCCTCTGCCTCCCGAGTAGCTGGGAGGCACAACACCCAGCTATTTTTTGGTTGCAGCCATCATTGTTTGGCAGGTCCGGGCTGGATTCGAACCTGCCAGCTCAGGTGTATGTGGCTGGCACCTTAGCTGCTTAAGCCATAGGTGCCGAACCGACACCTTAAATTCTTTAGTAAGGTTTTCTTTTAAAAAAGAAAACAACAAATACCATTTGTCCAATGGTGGGTCATTGCATAATTTTATGTATAGTTGGAGGAGTAAAGTACTACAACTACTACTTTTTATTTTTTATTTATTTTTTTATTTTATTTTTTTTTTTTGAGAGAGAGTCTCACTCTGTTGTCCTAGGGTTGAATGCCATGGCATCGTAGCCCACAGCAAGCCATCCTCTTGTCTTAGCCTCCTGAGTAGCTGAGACTACAGGCACTTGCCACAACACCCAGCTAGTTTTTCTATTTTTAGTAGACACATGGTCTCCCTTTGCTGAAGGCTGGTCTGGAACTCCTGACTCAGGCAATCTACCCACCTCAGGCTCCTAGAATGTTAGGATTACAGGCATGAGCTACAGCACCCGGCCTTACAATTAGTATTTTAGATGTTTTTGTCCCCTTTTACTTCTCTTTCTCTCTTCTGAAATAAGAACTGTTGTTGCCATAAAACATTAACTAATAGTGTGTGTATTTGTAAAACTATGAAGCAAAAATGTGATGTATCTTGTATCTCATTTAAAGGGCCAAAAAAAGAGGCTATGGTAGAACCTTAGTCCTTTTTGGTTTTTTAGATGTGATTTACCCTTCTGATTTAATTAATAATTCAATGTATAAAGACCCTTGACCATAAAATATACATCTTAAGGAACACATCATCAAGCCAAAGAGCTAGTCTTCATTGTGGTTATATTATATTTACTGAAATTTTTCTGAGATTTAGATACTAACTTAAAACTATGCTGGACACAGTGGCTCTTCTTTTGCCCAGTGCATGTAACATCTTATTCTGATCTTGTGACAGCATCTGCTTCCCTGGCACATTGCCATGTGTAATACTGCATTTCTCATTTAAGGTATTTCCCTGTTAAGAATCAGGACCTATTAAGTACATATAAAGGTCAAAGCTTGAGTGATAAGGTACCCCTTATTCTTATGTTAAGATTAGTATAAAAGTAGCCTAGTGCAACCGTTTGTAGTGAGATAGTCCCTTCTTAAAAACTGCATTGCAGTTATTTGTACCTATCACAGATTAGGAAAGCTTTAAGTATCTACAGGCTTATTCATAGGAAGATTCAACTCTTACTCTGTTTTGTTTGGTATTCTTATTGTTGAGTTATTTGAGGGGAATTGCAGTTGTTTGGTTTTAGTTTTTTTATTTTGTTTCATTTTATAGCAAAGAAGTAAACGAGGAGGTTGGTCCAAAGGAAGAAAAAGAAAGAAACCTCTTCGAGACAGCAATGCACCCAAATCCCCCCTTACAGGATATGTTCGTTTCATGAATGAGCGTCGTGAACAGCTTCGTGCAAAGAGACCAGAAGTCCCCTTTCCAGAAATCACAAGGATGTTGGGCAATGAATGGAGTAAACTGCCTCCTGAGGAAAAACAAGTAATTATTCTTATTCCTGATCTTTTTTTCAGTTTTGATTATATCTCAATAACTTCTGTAAGAAAAGCAGAGAGGAGAGTTGATTCTCAATTTTGTCTTCTTTCCATTTGTCTGAAAGACATCTATATTTCTAGGAAACCAGAATAACCCTGCCCTTCATGGCTCTTTTCTCCAGCCCATTAATTTTTAAACTATTTCAGGGTTTGCTACAGTATGAGCAGGAGGTCTAGGACTCCCCGCAACCAAAACAGCTCCATTTTTATTTTATATATACGACTAGAGTTCCTGTAAGATTTTAAGTGGTTCAGTATTGAGATATGAAGAAATCTTTTAACATAATTATTCCACCAAGTTAAATGAAAAGTCATGAATTAAATGACAAAAGTTCACTTGATAAAATTCTGCAGTTCACATAAGATTTTTGAGAAAAAGATTTTACTGCTTTAAAAAATAGTTTTAACTAGAGCTCTGGCAAATTAACCTGCTATGGAAAATAAAGCAAGAACTACTTGAATTCTTTCTCCTCTAAGACATAAACTAACCCTATTGCCAAATTGAATCGAATCCATTTGTTAGACAGATTTGAGGGGAATTAAGGACAAGATAGCCATGAGCTGGTTGCAGCCACTAAAGCAAGTGATGGTAATTATCGTGGGAGCTGCTCTGGGTTAAAAGTTCCCAGCATTTCCAATGTCTGAAAGATATCTATATTTCTTTTATGTCTTAAACTCTTTTATGCCTTACTCTCTTTAAAAAGGATTCCAGACAGACTAAAACCAAATTGGAAAATATTCTCTTGAGAATTAATTGAATTCAAAAATTTTCAAAGAGTCAAATTAAGTTGGAATGGAAAGCTCTGTGTTTATGGCAGCAAGCTAGTAGAAAGCAGTGTGTGTCACTGGCTGTACTGTGTAAAAGAATAGTGAATGGTACATACTGGGTTACTCTTTCCTTCTGTATTTTTCTTTAAATTTAATATATGCTCATTGTTCAGATTTTTTTCAGAAAATATAGAAGTATATTAACAAAAAAAGCAAAAGTAACAACTACTTATCTTTAAGGGTAACCACAGTTGGTTATATAGGAAAAGTTATGTTTGTTTTTATTCTTTTTAACCTTTTATTTGAAAATATTTTGAATGTACAAAAAGTTACAAACATACAAAGAACATCCAAACACCCTTTACCCAGATTTGCAGATGGTTAACACATTTTACCCAATGTCTTTGTTTGCATATGCACTTATACATTTGTATACTTGTATTTTCTAAGAATAGAAATATTCTTTCACATGACCATGTGTAATTATCATCTTCATCATTGTATATTAATACAGTGATTTTATTTAACCTACCATCCATATAATGACCTAACATCATCCTTACAACATTTTTCCCCTCTGGTATAGATTCTAGTCTCGGGTCAGGTTTTATGTTTAGTAGTCAAATCACGTTAGCTTCTGTTATGCTGGGATATTTCCATAGCCTTTCTTTGACTTTTATAGCATTGTTATTTTTTAAGATACAATCCTTCTCTTCCACCCTTCTTTTACTTTTAACAGAACATTCCTCATTGTGTATCTGTCTATGATTTTTTCTTATGATTAGATGCATTCTTGGTCAGAGTACTACATGGGTGATGGTATTTCCTTCTCAGGGTATCACATATGCAGACACATAATGTCCTTTTGTTCTTCATTAGTAATATTAATTTTACTCACCCAGTAAATTTTTTTTATTCTCCTTTATAATGAATAAGGAGTGGCTAGGGAGATCACTTAAGAACATGCAAATAGTTTATTCCACATCAAAAATTTTCCCTAAATTTAGCATTCATTGATGATTTTTGCCTCATCTAATCTTTATCATTATAGATGTAAGATGATGATTTTTTTCCAGCTCCAGCAGACCTTCCACATTTACTAGTTGGCTCTCAGTTTTCTTTTTTTTTTTTTTTTTTTTTTTTAGACAGAGCCTCAAGCTGTCCCCCTGGGTAGAGTGCTGTGGCATTACAGCTCACAGCAACCTCCAACTCCTGGGCTCAAGCGAGTCTCCTGCCTCCGCCTCCCAAGTAGCTGGGACCACAGGCGCCCACCACAACACCTGGCTATTTTTTGGTTGCGGCCGTCATTGTTGTTTGGCGGGTCCAGGCTGGATTTGAACCTGCCACCTTAGGTGTATGTGGCTGGAGCCTTAGCCGGTTGAGCTATAGGCGCCGAGCCAGCTCTCAGTTTTCTAATCTAAGCAAAAGCCCTCCCTTCTCCCCCTCATTTGTTTATTACCTATTTATTACACTTGATCTTAGCCAAAAGGCCGAGAAGCGATATTATTACCTATTTATTATTGGTATGACAAATAATTGTTGGTATATCTGTTATAACTGGTATGAATTCCCTTTTTTCCCCAATGGTTTATAATTTATCCCTGTACTTAATTATTTTGGTGTTTAAATTGTCCCAAATTTGGCCAAGTAAGTACCCCTATATTTGGGCTGTAGTGTGGAATAAGGTTTTTAACATAATTTCTGACTCTGATTTCTGTTCATTTAGAAGTAGTATTTTTATAGTTTCTTATGCCTAATTTGATGAATGAAAAGGGCAAAGCATTAAACAAAAGTCTGGTAAATCAATGAACTTTGTTTAAATAATTAATAGCACAAAGCAATCAAAGCTTGTAGATAGATGTGGGCTCTCTCAAAAGTAGTCCTTTTTAGCTCCATAGGATGAGGTCATTCTCTTTATGTTCTTTGTGTCTCCCAGCTTTAGTGCTGCACTCTTTCCTAGAGGGGTAATTGATGTATGAGATCATTCCTTCAAAATGGACTGGGGATTGAGAAACAAAGTAATATTCTGTTCCTTCCCCCAGGAGGACTTAAGTGTGTCTGTGTGATGTACAGACCTCATAAGGCCATGCAGAGTTCTATCTGTAGAGTCAGAGAAATAATTATAATCATCTTCATGAATTTATTATAAGAATAATCTCCATAGAACTTGTCTTCATTAAATAAGAAAAGGCAATAAGTCTAAAAAGTCAAAATCACCTATTTTGTAACTGAGAGATTATATTTGATTCTGTTTATATGAGTCTGTTTTTCTGATTCTTCCTTAAAGCATATTTTCTATGCTCTATTTTTCTACATTCTAATTGTTCTCTGCTTTCCTCAAAGAGGTAATTGATACTTTGCCTAAATAAGATCTCAGTTTCCTGAGTAATTCTTCATTCCTTTCCTAGCGCTATCTTGATGAAGCAGACAGAGATAAGGAGCGTTACATGAAGGAACTGGAGCAGTATCAGAAGACTGAGGCCTATAAGGTCTTCAGTAGGAAAACCCAGGACCGCCAGAAAGGCAAATCTCACAGGCAAGGTATCAGAATCAGAACCGAATGTATTTGTAGTTTGTCATGCATGATGGAATGTCAGACCTGTTAGGGTGATAACTGTAAAAGATGTGTTTGCTGTCACCTCTCTACCACCCAATATTCACTTGCAAGCATCATACTGGAATTTTATTAAAATCACATTTTCTCATTTAGAAATTTCAATTGAGTTTTCATATTCATTATCAACAATTTGGTTATGCTCCAAGACCCCTTTTAATTAGTTGCCCTTATTTTCCTAATTCTCAGTTTAGGCATTTCTCTGCCTATAAACAAGTCTACTAAACTATATAATTGGCTTGCTTTTAACACTTCTAAACATTTCCTGTGCTTTTCCAGCCTCCAGTGGTCCTTCTTTTCATTCATTCATTCACATATACATGCATTCAAAATACACATATTGAGCAATTTGTATTAGTTATATCAGGCTCTCTTCTAGGCATTAAGAATGCAACAGTGAACAAGATAGGCAAGATCTCTGCCTTCACAGATCTTTTTTTTTTTTTTTTTT